GGTCGCCAACGTGAACATTGGTGCCAACTAAGCACAAGGCAAAGCATACTGATCGCCAAAAATTAATTTCCCCTTTTCTCCAAAGCAGTGATACAAATCGGTAACACTGACTGCTCTACACAAGGAGTTTCCCTGCTATGGAGGTTTAAGTGAATGTGCAATGTCACCCAATAAATTCGATCCTTTCATTTAAGAGAGGACTAGAAGATGACGGATCATACATGCGAATATGCTTTTATTCTGTAGAGTTTTATTTGTATCACTGTGTTTAATTATGAATGGAAGTTGTGTGGCTTTTTGGTGGTGCCTTCATCTGACCACACCCTTTTTTCATCCCTACTGCCTCAGTGGAAGCATACTTCAATCTGTGCACGCAGCTTTGCTTGTCAACTGTTTGCGCCCTGATCTGCCATGCCCGGTTAAATATCCCAGTCGCTCTCTCTCTCTTCCTCGTCCCTTTAAAACCATTTATGCTAGTCTACAAAACATTGTTCAAGCGTTAAGGTATTACAGTTATGCCAATTTTTGAAATAACTGGAAGTGTTTCTCTAGTCTTCCCACACTAATAAAAGTATGAACTTGGGTGTCACATGCCTGTGATGCATCGGACCCCATTTGGCCGGCGCACCAATTCATCTTGACAGCTCACGCGACAATTGTTCCTTCATCACTTAGCATCAAGTGCCATACCACTTCCATTATTCCTTATCCCCATGTCTTTTGATTCCCCCGCGGTCTGACCCCATCGGCCTCGTCGCTGACCTCGCATAAAGCCTTTTAGATGTTTGTTTTAATTAAGCTATATACCTGCCAAAAATGAAGAATAATGCTCGACATTATTGCCACCGTATCCGCGTGTGAGACTAAAGTCTTGCATCCTTCGACATAAAGGACCCGACGGGAGGCCCTGCAAAATGTGCAGTTTATTTGGCAAGACTAAAAGTTAATCCATTAGGCAGGTATGGGTGGTCAACAGATTACGCGTTTTGGGCACGAGAGTGAAAGAAGCCTCCTGGTATCAGTCATTTTGCCTTGAGCGTTCCCAATACTTTCAATGCAATGTCAAAGTCAATTTGCCATAGAACGAGAATTGAAGGAGAGATCAGGTGATTTTTAGAACAAAATGCTCTCCTTGCCTCGGTAGGTGGATTTCTTGCTGACATAATCCAATTGAAAACGCCGATGTCTTGCACCGCAATTCGCAAAGTCTTCTCAGGCATTGGATTTGGGTTGAAAGGGATCTTCTTCCTAGCACTTGGTTTCGCCAAAACCGAGATACATGCTACCATCATCCTTTCAATGGCTCTCGGTGAGATTTTCAGCCTACTTTCAACTTAATTCCACTATTTGCTTGTCTTCAATCTCCTACTGTTTTTGGGAATTGATTCTGCAAATCTCACGTTTAAGCTCAACTGAGCTGTCAACTTTCAGCTAAATTAGGCTTCATTCTCATCACTCTTGTACAAAAATCTGCAAATTTTATTACTATTAACAACAACAATACTACTACTGCTACTACTGACAATAATATTTCAGCACAGTTCTTGGAATGACATTGACATTTACTTTGTTTGAATTAACTTACTACAACTTTTCGATTCTCTTGCATTTTGGATTAGGTCAGTAGGCAAATGATGAGGAGTCTCTCGTCACTCACTCCCGCGGCGCACTAGTGCGACCAGCATTATCGCGGACTGAGTTAATTTGAACAATTTGACTACTAATTAAGAGGTAGAATTTGGAGGGTGCCATTTTCTGCATATGCATATGTAACAGGATCCCCACCACAAATTGGGCTATCCATTCTGATATGCATTGTTGAGGCTAGTGCGTTAAAGTGGAACCTGTTGCCGCTTGTTCAACCTTCAACTATTTCCATTCCAGGCATTTCTGGTCTCGCTGTTGCTGGCTACGCGGTCAGTGTCATTGAATTGGCGCCTAAATTTGCTGGACTAATAATGGGCTTCGCTAACAGTATAAGCACTCTCACAGGCAAGTCCCTTTCCCATCTACGTGGCTCGTATTCGACTGGCTCAACAGCGTTCGCTATATTTTCTGTGATTCATCCAAAAATGTCCAAAATGCAACAACACCTAGGCATTTTGATTAAGTGGTTACCCACCTTATACTCGATTTGGCCTATCCATTTGAATAATGAAAGTGTCCTGGTGAGTTTGGCAGCAGACAACCACCTCTCCCCCTTCTTTAATGCCGATTTAGAGACGCCACTCCTCGAAGGCTTACTCGGGCAGGTGCAATAACGAATGCTGTCAATCCAGAAAAGGTTATTTTTACTGTGAGGGAACACTAAACTAGTTATGAGGTCGAATAATTAACGTTTTTTTCAGTGACCCTAGAGGGTTGCAGCATGAAATAACAATGAATGCGAATTAGAACAAAAACGTAACATAAAAGAGGCAATGGCTTTGAAAATCCCCAATTAGCGTAAAATTACGATGCCACTGATTTACTTCACCACTTTATGACTGTATTAATAGGAGGAAAGTCGCAAATGGCCACGATGTGCAATGTAACTAGCTACTCAACATCGAAATCCTCCTAGTTTGGTAGTCGCCACCATGTGAAGCATCTGGTTGCTGGATGCTAACCAAAACTTCAATCTTCCGCATGAGTTTTAATTGCTTTGCATCAAAGAAACAAGGGCTCATTTATAATCTTGCCTACTTAGTTTAGAAGGAAACCGCCCTGTCTGATATTGTTAATGAGGAATTACTACTGTGTGTTTTTCATTAAGGAATCCTATCAACAGTAATAGCTACGTTCATCGTGCACTACTTGAGCACAGGTGTTGGAGCCGGGTGGATTGTCGCTATGAGTTTAGCCGCCGGAAGTCAATTCTTTGCTGCGATTTTTTTCCTCATCTTTGCCTCCAGTCAGGAACAAGCGTGGGCCAAGGGCGGAGTGGTGACAAATGCCTCAGGTGATATATTTCATTCACAGAAATGGCTCGCCGCAAGTCAACGCGAGACCCGAGAGAAGAGGCACCATATAACTCACCTCTTTGAGACTGATGACGTTGAAGCCAACTACAGATGAGACATATACTTAACTAGTTTTTAGTAGCGAGGTTTTTGTACTCCCAAGTACGTAACACTCCGGGGTGAAATGAATGTAAGCCAAAACTTTGCATCATTCAGCTATTCGGTGGAACCCCAAATACAGACTCTTTACTATTTAAGGCAATCTTACCTGCAGAGCTACACAGGAAGACCATCATCGCATAAAATGCATGTTTAGGAGGGATGTTTTGGCGTCTTTCGACGCAGAGACGTATGTACCTTTGCATAAGTGGTCTGTTTGAGGTAGTACAAGCTCCTCATTAACGAAATGCATAAATTGCAACATCTGGATCTATCCAAAATCATTCCAACCACTTATTAGCGTGTTGGCAGTCACATTAGGCTTCTCGTCCTTTGTGATAGCAGGACAATGGCGGTTGATAGTGTTCCACCGAATGATCTTGAACATACTGCTGTTTGCGAAAGCTTGACTATCACGCCTCGGACTGAAGCAATTTTTTTACGCAAAAATGGTGTTTAACTCGTTATCCGAGGCACACTAAAGTCCCTCGATGCGAACGAGATGGTTATGAATTCACACAAAATAATTAGGCACTCTCGAAAAGTTAAACTACACCTCAGTCATCCCACCCAACTTTGGTCTGTTTTTATCGAGTATTCGCAATCCACATCGCAAATTTAGCTGTTCCAATTTCAACATACCAACTTCCATTTTAACCATTTTCAATTCATCAACAACCCCCAGAAGGTATTCATTCTATTGTGCTGTCTTCCAAAGTACAGAAGCGGACCGATGCTCATTCAATTTAGACTCAACAAGGCGAATCCTGAACCACTGTACTTAATGGCTTGTCGAAACAGTTGCCCTCCTTTATCTGTTCAAGAAGGATACTTCATTAATACAAAATTTAAAGAACAGTTTTGTAAATCTGTTCTACCTACAAGACAGAGCCAAGTGCTACCTGTGTGAAGTGCTATTTTGGTAATTTGAAGCCCTCTCCTCACTGCACCAACGCTGTGAAGGTTGGGCGGATTAAACCACACCAGACCACCAGGTTACCCGGTTCCAATTCACTGCCTTCGTCTAGTCGCTACATCAACGTATCGTCACCAATAGATGCAAGCAAGCTCTCCATCCTACCAAACTCTTCCAGCCCCGACACTTTGATGAATGCAACATTCAGGTTAAAACAATGTTAAGCTAACTCACATAGCCTTTGGCTAAACACAATACGTTCAACAAGTATAAACTACCGAACGTGCAAATTCCCACCAACAGCCGATGCGTAACTCGAAGCATAGCCATTTCAACAGTGACCATCCTCATCCCTTAGGTTTTGGTTTCATATCATCCTCACTACCCCCATCCTCCTTGTTTAAAGCTTCAAACTGCAGATTAAGATCATTTGGAGCTATTAGCCTACTTAACAATTTAGCATCAAGCCCTCATTGCATTTTTTCAGACCTATTCATCATTAAAAGCTGCTCACTCATAAGTACTAAACACTACAACTTTGAAGACAGTCAAGCTAGTAAAGACATGTTCTTCAAGTAGAAGGTAAGAATGATAACTTAACTCGGAATTGAGGAGGCATGGTCTCATCCATCCATAGGAGTGCCACATCTCGCATCGGAACACCCCTGTTACAAGCTCTAATGTGCAATCCTCGTATGCCACTGGAAACTGTAATGGCACGCGACGTGGTAATAACATCTATAGCCTCTCAGATAGAAGAATAAGATAAGGCACCATACTCGCCTCTACTACAGCAACAAGCACACCTCGACCAACAGCAAATGTGCCTGCTCACGATTGAGATGGCTGCCAAGATTACGCGTCCCGGAACCGCACCTACACACCTGGACCGTGAAAGTGCCATACCACTTTTACGTGGCTTTAACCGACCCCCAGTTTGTTCAAATAGACAGCTGCTTCCACCTTCGTTGCATCCCCTTCCTCCAGCCTCATTAACGCTAACTTGCAAAATGGAACGCCCGCCATGACTAATGCAACTTAACTGGTTTGTCACCTCCGATCGTGCGGATCTTCCTCGTTGTCTAAGTACGAAGTTGACCATCATCTCGAGTAAAAGGACGCTGTTCTACTTAAAGAGATGGTGCACGACAACCGCGTACCAATCTAACGTCGGCAATGAGGCGATTGCAGTCAACATCTTCATCACTTAAGACCTCGGGAGGGACCGAAGCTGCGCTATCATAGAAGAATACAGACTAAATCAAATTCCCGTTTTAAGAGCAGTGACACCAACTTTAGTTCAGCGACAGACAAAACTTTAAGAATGCTAAGTCCCAATAAATTGAATTGACCGTTACAACCTCGCAACCCACCTCATGCGAAAGACTACGGTTCCTC